CTAGACTGAAGAACAAAAGGACAGCAACTTGTCTGTTCCCCTTCCCCGATTCCCCAACACTGTTCCCCTCCCCCAATTCCCTAATAAAATCTTGAAAACAAATCAGCAAAGAGAAAAAAATCCAGAAAAAACAGGCACAAGCTCCCAAGAGTCCCTTCCCAGTGGAAATACCAGGATATGCTAAAATGCCATGATGCCAAAAAAAAGCATAGTCATGACAATAATAAAAATTGCCTTCTTTTCAACCTCCCCTTGGCCTCAGAAGTAGATAAAATGTTTATCTCTGTTTATACAGATGGCAAAATTTCAGAAGTCACTTCTCGTGGTCACAAAACTGGCAAATTTTATTACAAAAGCCATGTTTTTAAGAACAAAAGTTTAAGGATCCATGAAATACCCATTGGGGACTGGAGCAAGCTATTGGTATGGTGTGTATGTATGGTCATATTAATAGATAGACTTACTTTAAAATGCTTCTGCAATCATCCGAAAACACATTTTCTATACATAGGTGAAGCTTCTGCAGATTTTGGCTATGTTTGAGGCAGAATGCAGACACTACCAAATCATCTGTGTTACTAATATAAATACTAACATCTTCGAAGAAATCCATCACTTGTGTTATAAATTCTTTCTCCTGGGTCTCAAACAAACTGTTGAACAATTCATGAAAATTCACCACTATGCAATTGGCGTCATACTGACTTAAACTCTGAAGGCATTTGGTTATTTCCTGCTTTATCTCCTTAGACAATGGAAAACCAAAGGATGTCTCCAACACGTTGGTTGTTTTTTCTGTTGAAAACCCAAACAGGAAGACCCCCGTCTGCAACAAGTAGGTTGGGGCTTGAGTCACAACTGCTGTTATAAGCTGGGACACAGTTCCGATGACCGGATTAGGGTTGTCCTGGGGTTGTCTGAGCAGGTAGAACATGGCGGCACAAAACTGTTGGACACACCTGTGGATGAAGATAAAGCGGCCGCCGTTCCTTTGGAGAAGTCGCAGGCTCTCCCACATCGAGGCATCGGGCTCCGATACCCCATTCTTCCTGAGATCCCTGGGGTGAAACACGAACATGTCAGTCCAGATGCCCTCTGCAGCCAAAGTGCACAAGCTTTTGAGTCGGGCTCTGCTCTGCCTAGGCAGACAATTCTCAAGTCCCGATTTGAACACACTGGTGAAAAAGGAAACATACAGAGAAGTGGTGCTTTCGAAGGCAATCCCAAGGTCTTCTCCTCTCTCCAGCTGCCATTTAATACAAGTACAGACCAACCAGCATGCAAGGGGATAGTGGCACAAGACAAACAGTGATGTATTGTCTCTCACAAAACTGAAGGCTCTCAAGGCTTTATTCTTCTCCCAGAAGAAATGGGAGAAATACAGCTTCCGATCATGTTCAGAGAGTCCTGAAAGGGCGATGTATTTTGGACGCTGCAACAGGTAAAAATTCTTCCTCATGCCTGTCATTCCCAATGCGACCAGCAGAGAAGACTCTGGAAGCATTTTTTTCCGCAGCAGACTGCTCAGAATAACCTGGGTTGGTCGTCGCTGCCGCCAATCATTGCACAAGTTGGTGTCAAGGTCCAGGTCAAATTTCAGCTTCTCAAAGGCATCCATGATGAACAGGATTCTCTCTGGCTGGGAGAAAATGTTTTCAATCGGCTCTGAAGACTCCGGCCAGTCCCTGGAGAGGAGCCCCACTAAGCTTGTCTCTGTGATACTGTTCATCTCACAGCCGTTGATGAAGAAGATAAATGTGAATCTTTCCTTCCATAAGTTTCCCTCTGCCCACTCCAACATCACTTTTCTCAAAAGGGTTGTTTTGCCAATTCCTTGAGAACCTAGCAAGACCACAGTGAGGACAGGCTGACCAGCCTGGTCAGCAGTATATGCAGTGGTCAGCTCTTCATATTCATTCTTTGTGGTTTCTGTGTAGAAATCATCAGGCACTTGAAGGCAGGTTTCCTTTTCCCATATAAGACGAAATTTTTTCTTCATGCGATTTTTATATGGGTTGAGCTTATCTGAGTTAGCTAGGACTGAATACAAGACAATTAAAAATGCACTAATTCACAATAGCCAAGACAAGACGTGAGTGGATAAAGATTAGTACATATATGCAATGGAATACTACACAGCCATAAAAAATGATAAAAATATTGCCATTTGTGACAACATGGATGGATTTTGAGAATATTATTCTAAGTGAAATAAGTCAGATGGAAAAGAACAAAACCATGTTATGTCACTCATATGTGGGATATAAAACAGAGAGCAAAAAATGAATAAGACAAACACACAAACAGACTCATAGACACAAACAACAGAATGGTGGTTTCTAGATGGGAAGAGGGTAGGGGTGGATGAAGAGGGTAAAAGGGTCAAATACATGGTGACAGAAGGAAATTAGGAATCAGGAGATGAGCACACAATAGAGTTCACAGATGTCGGGTTACAAAGTTGTACACCTGAAATTTACATGTTATTAACCAATGTTATACAATAAATTTAATTTTTAAAAAAAATACACTCTTTCCTTAATACTCAAAATGACCCTACAGATCTACTTGAACACACAGGCAAAGACTAATGTATGTCCATGGATGACCAGGCTAATTAACTTAGTTTCATTAGGACTGGAATCTATCTGGAATCCTGTCCATGGAAGAACCTGACCCAAACCAAAAACCTATCTCAGAGTTAGCTACACAAAGTGTAGATACTTGGAAATTACATTCCACACTTGGGGGTGGGGTGGTCTTTCCCATGTAAAGAATTCTTAGTTGCTACCATGTGGGGAGGGTCTGCCAGGAATCAGGGCTGAGGATATTGCTACTGTCTCTTCCATCTTCTCAAGAACCATTAAGTTCATTCTTTACAAAAAAACTATTGAGAGAGTTTATGTTATTTGGCTCATCTGGACTAATGGATAAATATTAGGGTCAGGGGTCTATCCTACAATATATCTGTCTGACCTGAAACCGTAAGGACTAAGTGATTTCTATTATGGCATGTTACTGCAGTTAATTTGAGAAATGCACCATTAAACCATTATTCTTTCAACCTGCCCTTACTACGTACCTTCCATGTTCAAGGCAACATATTAGGGGAGGTAAACAAAACCACAATATACAAGGACCATACCCTACATTGAAGAGATGCATGCCACAGCAGGCAACGTATTTCTGTATGTCTCCTGAGCAAAGGGTATTATTCAAGGATGTATTGGGCCAGCTGAGCGGCGCGTTCATTAAGAGTTGGCTTGGGGGCCGGCCGAGTGGCGCAATGGCTAAGAACTGGCTTGGGATGCCAGAGGGCCCCNAAAAAATATTGCCATTTGCGACATGGATTGATCTTGAGATTATTATGCTAAGCGAAATAAGTCAGATGGAAAAAGTCAAGAACCATATGATTTCACTGATATGTGGTATAAAAAACTGAAAACAACAAAGGAATAAGACAGACAAATGAAGAAACAACAACTCAGACAATAGTTTAGTGGTTACAATAGTTTAGAGGGCAAGAGGGGAGGGGGGTGGTAGATGAGGGTAAAAGGGATCAAATATATGGTGATGAAAGGAGAACTGACTCTTGGTGGTGAACACACAGTATGATATATAGATGATGTATTACAGAATTGTACACCTGAAACCTATGTAACTTTACTAACAATTGTCACTCCAATAAACTTTAATTTTAAAAAAAAGAAGCTATGCATGTCACTGATTAGCACCTTCATGTCACCACCTGCCCATTGAAAGAGGCCAGTTTTTTCTGATGTGCCTAAGCCGTAAGTATTTCTGGCTGGTGCTACAAGATTTATTTGCCTGTTATATGGAAAATTTGTGATCAGGAAAAGCTCTTCATTTTATGGACATGGAAAGATCAAGATGGATAATACTTATTTTTAATTTTGCACATAGATTCTGAACCAACATCAAATCTAGATTAATGTATCCATAAAATTCAACCCATTTCTATTTACATAATCATGTCACACTATCCTAGAGAGTCACAATGTATTGACAGGTAGATCACTTCCCAGATCTATTTCTAGGAATGTATAGCAAACTAAATATTTATAATGGAAATTATTTTTCAGTTAGCTATCTTTGTAATCAAATTATTCTGAATGAATGTCTTATTTTTAGTCACCTGTTTGAATTTAAAATGCATAATTATAATTAAAGCTGAGTGAAAGTTAAAAATAATAATAATAAATAAATGAAAATTTAAACAAACAAAGGAAATAAACAAAAACAGACTCATAGAAACAGCCAATAGATGGTTATCAGAGGGGAGGGGTAGGGGATGGGTGAAAAGGTGAAGGGGAATAAAGTCAATAATATTGTGACAAGTGTGCACAGTGACAGATGACTACTAGAATTAGTGGGGTGATCACCTTTTAAGGTATAAAAATGTCAAATGACTATTTTGTATACATTACACAATATAACCAATATCATCCTGTGTACCCACTATACTTAATTTTCTAAATAGCCAGAGTAAAGAAAATGAAACTGCTACTGAAGAACAGGATGCCATCAAACTTACACAAGCTTTTGGAGTCTGCATATGGGCTGAGCCAGCGCTTTACAGAGGACCGCCTGGGAGGCCTCATCAAAACTGCAGTTGTCCAAATCCAGCATCTGGAAGTTCCTGCTGGTGGTGAACACTGAGCAGAAGTCCCGCCAGAGGGAGAGCTTCTGGCTGTCACTGTTGGACAACAAACACCATGATTCTCCAGTGGCTAAAGTCAACTCAGGACATTCTCAAAGCAGGCAGAATACCATCCCCAAAGCCCCTGCAAGCTGACGGACACCCAGGGCTGAACAGGGAGAGGTGCAGCCAGGTAAACTGAGTCAACATGGCACGGTGGTTGAGAAAGTGGACCCTGAGGCCACAGCATGGGGGTCAAGCTCCATTTGAATCACTTATTAGGTATGTGACCTGGGCAAGCTATTCAATCTTTTTCTGTCTCCATTTTCTCCTCTTTTAGGTGATAATACTTGATAGTTATTTGAACAAAAATTGGTACTGGGTGACCCATCAGTGGGCGAGGAACTGTATCCAAAACCATGACTGCACAGGTATAAGATAAATAATTCCTGGAGATGTGATGTACAGCATGGCATTATAGGAAACAATCCTATATTGCATATTCGAAAGTTGCTAAGTAGATCTTAAAAGTTTTCATCACAAGAAATAAATTCTGTGCCTATGTGTGGCGACAAGTATTAACTAGACTTATTATGGTGACCATTTTGCAATATATACAAATATCAAATCATTACATTGTACACCTGAAACTAATATAATGTTACATGTCAATTATACCTCCATGGAATAAAAAAATGTTAAAACATGAATGTGAAAGGTGGAATGTATTTGAGAACTAAAGAGTGAGCTGGTACTGATGGGGTGGGAGGCAGGGTGAAAAAGGGGAGGAGATTAAGAAGTACAAATTGGGGCCAGCCAAGTGGCACGATGGTTAAGAAATGGCTTGGGATGCCAGAGGGCCCCGGTTCGGATCCCACATATGAGGGCCAGTGACACTGTCCTCCACAGCTAAGATGCTGAACAACAGCTCAACCTG